AGTTGCAAAACCCACTTCTGCAATTTAGGACTGCCAAACCTCTTCTGGGAACCACACAGGTACAGTGACACTGGAAGGGCTATCACATTTCAAGGTGTTTGACAAACATTTGCTAAGACAGCTCCTCTCAGGACATGTAATTAAAGTAATACATACTTGTGGTTTAAGGCAGTAATTCTCAAACATTTTTCTTGTCTCACTCAACTTCCAGTTCAACCTGCCCATCCTCCAGGGTCCTGACCCCTTGTCTCAAAGGCATTTTCATTCTCCAACACATATATGGATAGACCACATCCTCTTGGGGCTTTTATGTATTACCCAGCTTGATGTTGAAGTAAGACACTACAACTATTCTGGTACAAAAGGAGAGGAATGTGCAACCCTATATAAGAACCTGCATTCCAAGAATACAATTTATTTTTGGCATGGCATAGTTGCTATAGTGTAGTGGGAATGGAAGGGCTGGCCTCCTAAAATGCATTGGCACTCTTTCAGGAGAATGAAGCAAGCAGCCAGTGCTTTTTATACCTTTTGGAATGTAATGAAATATACTTGGTGATACAAGATCTTGAACAACAGAGCAAATTAGCAGTGTCAAGAACAAAGGTGGCAGAATCAGAAGTAAAGGTGCAAAGGTTCCATAACCTGTGACAAGGTGAAAAGCCCAGCGCAAAGACGACGAAACTTCTCAAATGGAGGTTTTGACTTGCCCACTTTTTAATTGTCATTTTTTGTAGTGGTGTTTCAGCAGTGAAAGCAAATGACCTTGATAAGAAAAAGGTATTTCTGCGCTAACACGCTACTGAGAGCATAGCTGCTGGCATTCACTCGTGCGAGGCAGTCTCAAAGGAAGCCTGAAGTGGAGTGGCCAGTGTTAGCAGCAACTTCCTCCAGGGCTGTTTCCTGATGCAAAATCCCCATTCTAATTCATCTTCTGTCTCCGTTTAGTGGTCAGGGCAAACCAAAACACAGGGAACAAAATTGCCCCCCACCACCCTCCCAGGGGAAGATAAAAAGGAGAATAAGGAAGAGAGACTTCAAGGTTGGAAATTAGAACTAGAAAATGTTTAATGAAACAGGGAAGGGATAGTAACAATTGGGGAAGTAATGAAAAATATACACATATATATAAACAAAACCCATTGTTAATGGTAGCTGATATAAAAGTCAAAAGGTCCTTTGTGGCAGAACTGACATGGGAAAAAAGGGCCAGGACTCTTCTCAGCAACAGATGAAGTCAGATTCTGCAGAGCACGTGGTGAGCTGAAGACAGAAAGCAAGAAGACTCCTTCCAATATGTCCACTAGAAGAGAGAAAGGAGCCAAGATACCTCTCTCCCACCCCTTTGGAATTTATAGAGAATAGCAGAAAATGGGAGAAAATACTTAGGTGATCTCGCCCTTCTCTCTTCTGCCTGCTGGACCTCCTCAGGGTCATAAGTAATGCCTTTTGTGTCTCTCAGGCTTGGCCATCAGAGGTCATCCCATCAATGCCATAAAATTCATTTCTGCCCCCTCAAACCATAACATCTTCCAAGATCAAAAAGTCTTCAGGAGTTCAACTACAGTGAGGTGATTTGGAAAAAAAAACAAAACAAACGACAAAACCAAATTGAAACCACCTCCAAAAGCATGCCAGAATTCTTTACAGTGCCCATCTTGTTTCCGTATGAAGATGAGAAGTGGTATTTCTACCACAACTATCTTTTACTAGATCTGGGTACAATCCACCTTTGCTAAAAGTATCACCTAGGAAGCTGGCAGAATTTCTACTTTGCTTTGCTGCACTTGGAACAAGAGGTTCTCGTTGTTTTAAAGATTTCCTTTAGGTGCTTACCCTGTTTTTCCTTTGAACATCCATCCTGTGGACAGTAAAACCCTTTTGAAATTGTGAAATTATCTTGCCTCTTTCTCAGTCAGAGATGACTGAGGCACACAAGAGTTGCAGAAGAGAATGACATGAAAGTATATGGTCTCATTAAGGTTATGGTGGTCTCTGTCTTGTCTACACCCAGCAGGATCTGATGCCATACTCCTGTTCCATGGGATTTCTCATAACCCTGGGCACACAGCGACCCTACAACCAGCTTGAAGCCACATAAAACTCTACTGCTTTCCATTTTAGTGAATCCTGCCCACCTGTCTGGCAGCTGTGGAAGAGTCAGCATCTCCCCTCATAGAGCTCCATGCTGCCTTGACAGTCAAGCAACATTAGGGTGAGCATGCTGGGGCTGCCGGTGCTGCCAGGGCTGGGCACTGCTTTGTGGCAGAAGAAACAGGGAGGAACCAGTGTTTTCTGTTCACCTGCTGAGGGTCTGAAACCACCCATGGGGAGCAGCAGCTGCACGAGTGACAAAACTGTGTCACAGCATAAACCTGATTGTCACGCAAGTGTCAGCACTTTGAGACAAGTCTTTAAATGTGTATGCAAGTGCCTTTGAGGTATCCTTAAAGATAATGTTTCCTGGCAATTTTTTACTAATTTTTGTGTGCTGGTGATCTCCAAGGGAGCATTTCTGTTGTGATTCTTGCATCTTCCCACTGATCTGACACTCAGGGTTATGCTGACATTGTACTTGGCACATCACTGATATTGCCAGGTAGGAGCCACACTGCTCATGCCTAGGACTGGGTTTGAACCTGCTCTTTTTGATCAGTACTGCATTTCTGCTTTTACCTGACTGCTTGAAATGCTGCTTGAAATCTCTGTGATTTCCTCCTGTTTTGGCTGCTGGCTAATTTAAACACAACAGAATTTGGAGGCTTTTTCACCACCCGTAGGCAAACAAGAATTAGTCTTTGAAACAAATATGTCCACGGAACAAGTAAAATTGGAGATGCAACATTCCAACGAAAATAGTATGCAAGTGCCTTTGAGGTATCCTTAAAGATAATGTTTCCTGGCAATTTTTTACTAATTTTTGTGTGCTGGTGATCTCCAAGGGAGCATTTCTGTTGTGATTCTTGCATCTTCCCACTGATCTGACACTCAGGGTTATGCTGACATTGTACTTGGCACATCACTGATATTGCCAGGTAGGAGCCACACTGCTCATGCCTAGGACTGGGTTTGAACCTGCTCTTTTTGATCAGTACTGCATTTCTGCTTTTACCTGACTGCTTGAAATGCTGCTTGAAATCTCTGTGATTTCCTCCTGTTTTGGCTGCTGGCTAATTTAAACACAACAGAATTTGGAGGCTTTTTCACCACCCGTAGGCAAACAAGAATTAGTCTTTGAAACAAATATGTCCACGGAACAAGTAAAATTGGAGATGCAACATTCCAACGAAAATAACTCAAACTCTCTTTTCCTCTTTTTTTTTTTTTTTTTTTTAAATTTATTTTACTGTGATAAACAAAATATATATTTTTTTCTTTTCTCTGGATTACCAATTCACATGGTTTCTAATGAAGTCCTGTGTTGTTTTTCCCTGACTTCAGCAAGGCTTGTGACTTCATGCATGACCATGTTTTCTATTTCTTTCAGGAATAAAATATTCATCACACACTTATAGAAATGCACCCAAACCATCTGCCTAGTCTTTACAGGAGATGTAGAAAGATTTGAAAACATGCTCTGCTTGTCTTCCCATTTGCACAGATGAATGGGTTTACTTAGAAGTCTTTTCTTTTAATCTTTGTTTTTCTTTGCCCTTTTTGTAATGTCTTAAGCCTGCAAAATCCTTGTTTCCATTCTTGTCATGCTGCAATAGTGACTAATTAAAATTTGTCTACATCTCTATTTGTCTCATGAACCAGCCTCTGCTTATACACTTTTGGTAAAGCACAAGAAAAGCTAGCACACCCTGAATGTTCAGAAACTATTGCTGCTTTTAAGTGCACAGGTTTGGACCTACCTTTGCAGAAGTAATCGTATAGTTGACAAAAAAAGTATAGTTGATAATGATGACAACTGTGAAATCAATCCCTTTGGAGTTCTTGTGCTGAGTATTGAGGAGAGCTCTTCAAAGTAGTTTCTGCTTTTGAAAACGTTGGACTTCAGCCAGAGCTTTCATCTTCTTATCTAGGAAAATGGAATACAGCTTAAATACTTCTCCAGCTCATGAAGGTTCATCACTGTTTATAAAACACTTGGAATTGAAAAGCACTTATTATTACTGATTATTTATTAATTCTCATTGTCTTGCATCTTCACATTCGTTCACATGACAAAGAAGAGGACTTTGCAGGCAGCAGAAGCAGGAGAACCTGTAACAGCTTCCCCTCTCCCCTCTGCCTTCCCTCACTGTAACAGCCACCGTAACTGTACTGTCCCCCCCAGATTCCCATGTTGCCTCTACACCTTCAGTCTCCCCTTCCCACAAGGTCTTCTGGCTCCCTGCCTTCCAGTATGGCCCTGGTCTCCCTCCCAAGACCTCCATACTGAGGCCAGCCGGTCCAGCACATCTGCAGAGGGGCCAAGAAGTGAGAGCATGAAAATTCATTAGACTTGAGAGATCAAAGAGCAAAAATGCAGGTAGACTCCACAGTGGAGTCCTTTTCCACCAACTTCATAGTGATAGAGCTTCCATAGCTCTGCCTCTTCCAGGCCTCTGCCCCTCTCATTTGGTTGACATTAGCCACAGGTTTAAGAGTTACTGGGAACAGGGAGATTAGCACAAGATTGTGTAAATGCAGAGTTGGTTTCTTCCTCTGTTGATCAAGTAGACGTTTGAAATGCTCTGAATGTTCAGATCATAAAAAAGCCACACTGAGCAAACTCACTTTTCCTGTAGAAACCATTTATCTAAGTACAGCATTGACATTTCTCTGCTGCTTTTTATAAGGTAGTACTCACAGTGGTAGTTTTAAGTGAGCTGATGCATTTGTGGCACAGATTAAGTCTTCTGAAGGACACAGTGGCTTGTCTCAGAAGCTTGCCAGCAGCAAGACTCAGGACCTTAACAAAAGAGCCTTTTCAGAAACATTTTCATGCTACCAAACTATCCTGTAGTAGCTTTCAGCCCAACTACTTTGTGCCAATGTGACACAACGTTTACCTTGCCCCAGCATGGCTTGTGGAAGCTGCAGTAACTCCTTCTGGCCAGAGGAAGGATGCTGTAAACGGAGGAGCTTGCTGGGGCATGCCATCTTCTAAAGGCAAATAATGTAACAGCAAAAATACGCGAACATGCACATCCACACAGGCACTTCATATACCTAAACGGAAAAATCAGTGAACTTATGAGGGAAGCAAAATTAAGCAAGTGGTTTTAGCACTTTGCACTTTTTTTTATTTGTCTAGAGAAGCAGCCCTAGCATTCTGAGGACCTGATGCTGTCAGTTCTGTCACACATTCAGAGCTGTAGCAAGAAAAATCTCTGCATGCTTCTCGCTGTAGGATTTACTCTGGTTTACATACCTGGGTGTGAATAGCAGGCAAGCCAAACCTGTCCAAAAGCACACATTTGTTTCACAGTTCTATACACAACTCCACGAGAGGAGTAAAGTGGCTAGGACTTCAAAACATCACTGGTATGAACTACCTAAGGAACTGTTTCATCGTGTGCTTCAGAAAGAGAAGCTTGTCTTTTCTCAACTCCTGCTTACAGACGTTCCTAGTCCATTATTTAACTACCAGAAATAAAATACTTCTGATTCAGCATTTACTCCCTTGTGTCCTCTCCAGCTGCTGCCCAGGCATGGATCCTGCATCACTGAATGAGCTATCCCTGTTTTGGACTGTGATGTTATTTCAAAAGGATGCACACAGAAGGCTCTGGCCTTGAAGGGCAATTCAGCAGTGTTTTTTTTTAACCCTTAATTGACGGTGATAGTTCCTGGCAAAGAAACAGTGCTGCTGGCATAGCAGAGAGGCAGCTGCTGTTTGCCTCAGCCCTCGCCAGCTGAGGTCTCTGGTTCCACAGGGTTGTGAAATTATATAAAGATCTAGAGTAGGGGTGATGAGTGGCAGCTATAAAGTTACTGCACAGGGAAAACCACCTTCATGGAGCCCTGGTGAAGTGCTTGCTCTGACCCACAGGTGCTGTAATGAACCAGGAAGGGGGACCAGTCCACAAATGGGTCACCAGTACTAATTGGGGGATGGCTGTACCAGGCTTAGGTAACCTTAGGTTCATGTTGATAAGACAATTTCTAAAGCTGTGATAGTAAGATAGTTGTGCTGTGGTTGCTGATGCCAAACCACAGGCTCCAGTGGCTAATACACATGAAATTGTAGCTGGCTGAGGGGGAGTTTACTTTTCCAACCTCACTGACTGCACGTCTGTGTCCTTGGTGTGATCTCTGCAAGAAATGCTGGAATGACTGGCAGTCAGGGACATAGATCTACAGGTGGTGGTTGATCACAGGGAAACATTTATGGACACAAGCAAAGGATGAATAGTGCATGAAACCAGGATCCCAAGGAAAGCTAGGGCTTCCCCTTTGGAGAAGGATCTCAGTTTATTTCCAGTAATATACTTACAAATAGAATGTTTCTTCCTGATACTATATTATTTGACCACCTCACCATCTTCTGTCCTGGCACCCAAAGTTATATGCTGAGGTCAAATCACCTGATGGGAGAAGTTTTAATTAATTAATATTAACTACTTAGAGAATGGGCGAAAAGGGCCCAGCCTGGAAACTTGTTTAGATTCCAGTGTGCTTGGTGCCATTTGTGTTAACACAGTATTCTGCACCTTTACATCTTCAGGACATCAGTCTTCTGTGACAGGCAGGGACAGCAAGAGAAATCAGGGATGGCACATGGTTTCATATCTCTGTGCTGTAAGTAGCATGCTTGCACACTTGTGTGCATCATAGTTTGTGTATGTGAGAGGAAGAATTTCATGCTGTAGGTATTTCTTGACCCTTCTTCCTTTCCCACACACTCCAAGGCCAACCACATTCACAGTAATTTGGATCTGTGTCCAAGATCACTAAGCCTTTGCAGAACGGGAAACTTTTATTCTCCCTTAACAGATTCCTGCCCTGTCATCTTATCTAAGAAGAAAACTGTACTCTACTCCCTCTACTACTTTTTTTGTTAAGGAGCAGTGAGTGTGTGTGTGTATGTGTGTAGAATTTTCTTATTTACATGGTTCATCATGATAGGGTCACTGCTTTTGTGGTATGTCTTTCATATCTACCCACTAGCCTGTTCTGAATCCCTTGCAAGACCATAGTTTGTAGATGCTTCAGATTTAGGCTGGAAAGAATTTAGGAAGCAGGTTTAGTGAGAAAGGATAGGGCAATTAAAGAAAAGGCATGTCACCAACACAGGTCTAAATAGATTTTTAGGGTACCAACATGTTGGAACACCCTAACAGAAGAAGCTGCTTTACAGAGAGACCTTACATCTTTGCTAAAAAGATGTTTAAACATTATCTGCTGACCAGCATATTGTTGAAGAGAGGAACTAAAGGAAGCTTAGTCTCTCTAAATGATCTTACCAATTACTCTGTAATAAAAATAATTCTTAAACATCACAATAAGCATGTTTGGAAACTTTTAGCAGATGTCAAACTAAGTTGGAGAAGCTTTTTTAAAAAACAAAATTGCTTTTCTTTTTAAAAGTGTGCCCTTCTCCCAAAATGTCGCATCACGCTACACATCTCCAAGGCACTTCCATTTCCCAAGACTTAAAATACGGGTCACTGAGGGCAATGCTGTGATGCTGAAATATAAAATAATATACATGTCTCAAAAGAAATATGAAATCATGTCCACTGGGCTTCTAATCTTAGCTAATCATCAGACTGCTTTCCAGGCATCTGGATGATTTTCCAGACATCACTGCAATCAAAGGTAAATAAATACCTAAGTTACATACTTTCCTCCAACACAGAAACACACATGCTCCTCAGGGCTGTACCTTACATTGGAGCAGGAAGATGGTCAAGCACCCACAGGACAGGCTGGGTCTGAATTTACTTGGTGTGTTCATGACACTGGAAAACCTCAAGAAACTGCTCATAACCTAGTATGTGGGCAAATCTGCACTCTACATTTGAGGCAGCACATGTGCTTGCAAAGGGTTTATCAAATGACTATTTAGATGTGATCCTGCCCATTTCTCCAGTGCATGTTATTCTTGATGATAGGAACTACCCAGGAAAGACTGGTCAGGTAATGGTAAGTCCAGTGATGACCACTTCTCTAGTGCTGCCATTTCTTTTTCACCCCATTCCTTGAGGCACCACTGAGAAGCTCACCATAAAGTGACCTTAGCATTCAGTTCCTTTGAGATATAAAGAAAAGTCCCAAGCATGCTCTGTCCCCTGCCTCCCACATGTCCAACAACCCCACTCCTTCTCTTCCTTTCCCCTGTGCCATCTCTCTCCCCACTCCTGAAGTACTGCCAAGTACTTCACAGTACACACACAGGACAGCCCCTCCAGAAGTACCTCCAAACTGCCACCCCAGTCCCTCTTGTTCTTTCACCTTCAGGAGACAACACACATCATGGCAGTGTTACAGCCATGCATAAGGTGACATGCCACCGTGTTGCTGTCTACCTGCTGGATTCAACCATTACTTCTCCAGTGAAGGAACTGCTAAGGTCTCTCCTCTGGCCCAGCCACTGATTTTCATAAAAATGATGTGCATTTAGCACTTTTGAAAGAATTCTGTCTTTCTGTCAGATCTAGCTGGAAAAGATTAATGGCGAGAAGTCAATGGGGGGAGGGAAGGGGGTAAGGGGACAGATTTGATAGACAGACAAACAGACAATGTGATTGCATCAGTCTCATTTCCTTAGGAAACTGGCCTAAAAATAAAAGGCTTTATTTGCCTCTGGGAATAAAGTAGAATGTCTCTCACATCTTTACAAAACATTTGTTCCTATGCATACTTATAAATAGTCAGGATGAGAGAGGAAGTTTGCACTGGATTTTGAGTAAAGAATTAAAAGGAAGAGCAGGAGGTGTGTGAATTTCAAAGCCTAGGATCCTTTTAGGCATAAGACAGCAGAGCAACAAATGCAGGGTCTTCGAAACTAACACCACATTACCCATGTGTATACATTGTTGGCCTGCAAATCAACTGCCCTTTGGGCATTTTTTCACACCACCACAGAACAAATGCACTTTTTCTGCATTGATGATAGATGATGAGATCAAACCCTTTGTGTGCTTTGAAGTCAGCAGGCTCTCTCAGGTGCAAGTGAGCAACACGGAAATTGCTATATTTGATCAGAGTTATGGTCTAGAGATTCCTGTCTGACAGCGACTAAGACTCCTACTTCAAAGGAAAGAATCCCCAAAAAGGTCCCGTCCGTCATTAATAGATTCTGCAAGCTGAAGAAACACTTCCACTCCTTCTAAATTTCTCCTTTCCTGCATTAACTCTAGATATTTTTGCTACCTTTGAAGATGTTGTATGCCTCCTTACAACCTTGGCCTTGGCAACAGTCTGTGGCAGTAAAGGTTTTTTATGTCCACTGAATATAAAATGCTTTTTATTTACAAGATTTGAATTTACTGCCTTTCAGTTTCATTAACTGGCAGCATTGTGGTCTTGGGCTTTACAGTCATACTAAACAGACAGGGAACAAAACAGTTCCACATCCTCTAGAAACTTCTAATTATTCTGAGACAGGAGTGCAGACATAACATCAAAAAAAAGAGAATGGTTTGTACAGCAGGAGCTGAGGAGGACTTCCCTCATGACAAGTTGGCAGAACAGAAGTGGTTGTTTTGTCTGTCTCCTTTGCTTTTGCAGAACCTTTTGGGTTTTGCTTCAACAGCCTATTCACGGAAGCCCCTTCTTCCTGAGAGTCGCTGGAATTTTCATTTCAGGGCTACTTCGCAGTCCCAGCAAATGCTATACTGAGGACTGTCACTAGAGGCAGTCCTTGTCCCGAAGAATTTATGTTTAAAATATGAAAGAACAGCACAGTCTGGGAAAAAGGGATGCAATGCACCATTGGAAGGTAAGGAAAGGGACATGTATCTTGGCTGTAGATATACAACTGGGGCTTTTACCGGGATTTAGCCTCAACTCAGCTTTAAACTTGATCTTGCTTCCCCAGGGGATTCAGCACTTTAGGGATGGGATTGACCTTTCTTAACTTAGAGGCTGAAAATGAGACACCTGAGCTCAACATTCTACCATCCCTCTGTGGTCAGCCAAGGGCATTAGGTCCT